TAATTTCTACAGAAGCCATTTTATGAAGAATTTAGTTTAATTAATTTTTCACTTTTCGAAAATTGCTGTCATATAAATTGCCTTATTAAATTATATTTAGTGCCTTAAAAGACCTACGGCACTGTTTGCACACTGTGTTCAAACAAATATTGCATACTTTGTGAAGATTATTAATGTACAACTGGAAAAAGCGGTATTGGAAGAAGGCAAATGCAATGTCTTTTGCAGGAATCAGCAATTATTCTCTGCAATTATGTATGAAAATATCAATTTATATAGATGGGTTATTTCTATACAGTTTTAGAAAAAGGGAAATTGTTTGGGTGATTATAATTTGAATGACAATATAATGGTGTACTTACACAGTGACTCAACCATAAAGACGTGAATAAAATGCACCAAAAATAAATTAACTTTGCTATCCATTTAAGCTAACCAAAACTTTATTAGTCGTCGCCTTGATTGAACCACAAACTCTTGTTAAATAATAAAGATTATATAAGGTCATGCTGATTTCCAGGTTCTGTTGGAGGGCAGTATTTGCAGTCGAGGGATGCGCTATCTAAATTGGACGTTGAGCAGCAAATCAACCATTATTTGAATGATTTAAGCCCAAATTCAGATTTATTTATAAGCAATATCTTCATTAAAATTTGCTTAATGATTTCAATAGAAGCTTGGACTCAGAAGCGCAAATTCATTTATAAATCTAGCTTAGAATTTCACCAAATAAATCACATTAACGCTTCACCTGAATCCAATAATCATATATTCCAATCATTTTCTATTTACTTCTCACTATGCAGTGTTTACCTGGTCATTTGCGCGAAAATTTTCAAAATTATTTAATTTTATTTTGAGGATTGAGATGAGATTTATTAATCAATTTAAGACTCAAGTTCAATTATACGGATTCTTGCTTGTGGCAATGTTAAGGAAATTCGCTTAGCTCAAGCTCATTTCAGCAATATGTGAATATGGAAATATAATTGGCTTTTCAATATTTTTTTTGAAATGAGAGAGGATAAGTAAAGAATTATGGTTTATCTTCATTATTGACTTCAAAATTACCCCTCATTGCTGATTAGGAGGTTTTTAATTTATTTTCAAAATAAGGTATTAATAAATCAATCATGTCAAATTAAATTAAATTTCTCTGTTAGTAAAGAGGTATGGAGAAAAAGTTGGCATTAGAGTAAACAACGATAATTTGATTTTGCACGTATCAGCAACATCAGTGCAAAATGAAATTCATATTAGTAGATTGATGCTGAGATTTGTGAAACATTTTGAATTATGCTTAATCGTATATCAGACATGATAGCTTTGGCTAAAGAATCTGCTTTATATTTAAAGTAATCACTTTACTAAGTAGGTTAAGTTTGCTAAAATGATTATTGTACTATTTTAGACAATACCCTAAAGGACTCATTGAGAATATATAAATAGCAACTGACAGTATATTCAAAATAAGTAAAGTTAATCCATCTCCCAAAAAATAACCATATTGCAATGTTGAAATCTTTATTTTTGATGCTGATTTTATTGATTGCCATTATGAATAAACCTGGAAATGAGATTAAAAGGATTTGAAGCCAAATTTTAAAATCAATTTCCAAGTTAAATTTTAAAAGAAAAAATTGATATTTTTAAGTAAAAATTTATTTAAATTTATTAAACCACAAAATCAAACCCAGTGTAGCTGAACACATGTATTCAAAGCATTAGAGCTGAAATCAAACAGAGTTTCATATATATCAAGACTCAAATAAGACGATATTTATCAAATAGAAAAATTGAAAATTCACTTTTAACATAGTTTGTGCTTTAGCGCTAAAACTAAAAGCCACAAAGAATAGATTATAGCTTTAAATAATTTAGTAGAAAATTTCTTAACATTGAATAGTATTGTTCAACTTTCCTTCAGCAGATTATTAAGATTCAAATTCTTCACAAATTCTGAAAACTTAATTTTACTTGAATTTTAAAGTAATTTCACTCGTGATTAGAATACGTGATGAGCTTTCCCTTTTTAATAGGAAAGCAACAAAATTTCTGTTTGTGGCCATTCCAAATGACAAAAGAATTCACCAAAGGCAGAACTTTAATCGGACACTTTTAAAATGGGTCATTTCCTGTAAACATTTAATTTTTCATTAGTTTTGCGATTAATATGCTCATAATATAACGAATTGCGTTATAATAAATATTTTAATTGACGATGGGTGTTTGTATTCCATCTGATAAATTTACATTGAATTAAAAAGCATTCCATCAAGTAAACTGAATGGAACTGCCAGCGAAAATAACCTTAAAATATTTGCAAAAACCTTTCAACGCATTTAGATCTTCCCTTTACGTCATTCGTTATTATTTGTTAGCGATATGTTTTTTAAATTACACTTTAGTAATAAAATAAATTGAAATTTAGTCAATAAAACTCACTCTATTATATTACTTTAATAAGATTTAGTTGAGAAGATTCCTGGAGTAGCGTTAACTGATGTGGGACGTTTGGTGAAAATTGGATCTTTCGATTGAAGGCACGATTTACGTTTTTCGAGCACCATTTATCAAATAATTAAAGTATTTATATATATTGATATATAAGACCATGATATCTTAAAATATGCATTTCTTACTATGCTGCAAAATGAAATAAGTAGATGAGTAGGTACAGCATTGCTTGTCAATTTGTTAACGAGAGGCAATCGATTGCTTGCAAAAATAAATATGAAGCATTTCTTGAGGTCTACAAGAAGTGCCTTTTGATGTGATTCGCACGTGCGAGTGATTCAATATTTAATCTGGGTGTGGCCCCATAATGGTCAGAATAAATTGAAATAAACAAATGTATAAACCTTCCATGAAAAACATTTTACTAATCAATTGAAGTATTGGATTTTTCAAAGATAAGCTTATTTTTCTCGATGAAATAACGCAGTTAAGAGAAGCAAATGGATGAATGAAAGTTTGTAATTTTGTTGTAAATGAATTAAAAAATGATATTTTTAATTAAATGCCTCCAGTTTTAAATAAAAATAGGGAGTACATACAGTAATTGGCAACAAATTGTTCACTCATATTTTCATTGTTGTTTTGAAAACTTTTGTGTCATTTACCGAAAGCAAAAAGAAAATAAGCGACGCTCTGATAGAAATGATGAGCTCTTCTATCTTCCTCTTAGTCAAACTGTCCATTGCAAATGTACCAAGTGATGCTCCATCAACTGCAAAATGAACAGATTGGCAACAGGTTACCTCATATGCAACTTATCTACACAACTCTTGACCGATCATCAAATAATCTTAATTAATGCTGTCAATCATGCACTCATTAATGCAAAAAGGAAAGAGTTGACTATGATTATTCTTGTCTGGGAAAAGTGATAGTATTTTTTATTGTTGTCTGCATACGGACAATCAGATAACCTTCTTTATCAATTTCAACGCCCAACGCTCACTCATGTGAGTTCCATTAACCTTCTGATGCTTTGTAAGTAATTAACTTTTAGTCCACTTGAATGCTATCTAGCATGCTAAAGGTCCTAAAGCTTGACTTTATTAATTTCTACAGATTATATTTGAAAAAGCGCTATCATATTTAGTAATAGGATTATGATTTTCATCTAAAATCTTGAAAAAAATAATTACCCTTTATATACACTTGTGGGGCGTTTCAACAAGATGGCCTAGCCAACCACAGAGTTTATTCTATTAGCAGTCAGAGAATATACTCAAAGTGAATGTAAAATTCGGTTGAACATTGCAAGTAAAGCTTTGAAACATTAAAGTAACACAGTGGATTGCAAAAAAATTAAATAATTATTGGATGCACCTGATGAGGTCCGAGTACATGTTGAGAGAAGTTCTTCTGGTTTTTTTAATCCTCTCTTCTTGCGATTATTATGCTAATGGGTAACGCGCTTATTAATTTCGAAATGTAAAGCGTTTTTTAATAGTGGTTAATAGTAAAAAAAATTAAGTCAATTGAAATATTATTGTGAAGAGTATGAATAGATAAAATGGCCCACAGCAATTTAAAATCAGTTGTGAATTCGTTTTCAATGCAATGCACAATTAATTACTCACAATAGTCCATATAAATTATTCTGAAACTGTTTAAATTTTCATTCATATACTCAAAATATATACTCGAATTTCAATCATATCATTTTTTTTCAAAAATCTTTCTCGTAGAATACAATCAATCACTTATCATAGTCATGCGGGAAAAGCCCTAAAATTATTAAAAGTAAAAGTTGTCTTTCGTGGTTGACAGTCATCAGTTATAAATGAACAATTTAACTAGAGCTTTAATTTTAATTAATTAATGAAACCGAAATATATAAAAGAGTTACATATTTTGATACTTTAAAATGGAAATCTAAAAAAAATTACGTCATGAAGCTAAGAGGATAAATACTCCTAATGCATGATTTATATTGCCAAAATTTGCCTGATATTTTCCTAACGAAAGGAACGTTCCCACAAAATGTGTGATTCTGATAATAAACGAATTTGATGCGAGGCAGACTGATAGTGAGGGTTGATTAAAAAGACAAAAATTAAGAATTTGCCCGATTTTTAATTGAAATTGAATGGTGGTTCCGGCTTCAGACACATTAATAACATTTTACAAAACATTCATTCTTCTAATGCGTCAAATTTTTAGGTAAGATATTTTACAATACAGCCCAAAATTGACTGCCTGCAATTATTCACCAAAAATTTTAAACTGTATTTTTTTAAATATAATAATTTGAAATATATTTATATATAGAGAGAGAATATGTTTCAATCTCAAAATAATAATGTTTATTAAACTTTGTCTATTTATAGTTTTTTTAGTTAAATGTCAGGAGCCAATCAGGTGCTACTTTTCTTCTTTTTCATTTAAGGAAGTAAATTTTACCTCGCTTGGTCATTATGGATGCATAAAAATGGATGAACAACTTGACATAAAAGGTGTATTGACATAAACGTTGGACAGGCACTTACAGTACTAAGTTGGTCGCAGTTTGCCTGGTTACGTATATCCAAAACATATCGAGCAATATTTCCAGATGATCCATCTGATTCAGTTCGTCTTCTCACTATCTGAACATTCCCATCATTCAATAAGGGCACAGTAGCAGCATTAGTTGCAATTTTACTGAGTCGAATTTGTGGAGATTTACTAAAATCTGGTTGCTTTTGTGGACTGCTATATCGACAACACGCTCGAGGTATTCGACAAGTCATCCCATTTGCTGTCGCTCGGTTAGGGGAAGTTGTTGGGGTAACACTGGCTGATGTGAAATTCCTCAATGAGTTAAAAAGTTGCTTAGCTCGTGAAGGTCGAGAATTTTGGTTGAACTCAACCGCCTTTTTCGAAAGAGACACATCCTGAAGAGGGTTTTCGGTTATAGACGTAACTGTCTGTTGACCGGAGGCAGGAGAAGAGACAAAAGTATGCTTCATTATTATTCATCAAAATCTATCAGAATTGTGTCATTCTTACAGATTATTATGTAAGCAGCACTTTAGTCACACTAAGTGTGTATACCTTGCCAGAATACTGGATTAGATTCTTCAGATTTGAGCTCTCTCATTGGCCACGTTTTGACCAGTAAGAGTACGCTCAAGTTGCCAAGGCATATTAGCTTGAAAAGTAAAAAACACTGTGCGTGAATGAAATACAATATATAAAGCTTAATTAAGAACATTAATTCAGCAAAGATAAATACTAAAGTTGGGGACAACAATAATGTTGATCAAATTTGCTTTAATTTCAAAGGACTAATCAATTCATCAGTCTTAAAATTAAATGACCCTATTTTTCATCATTAATTAATTATAAATTTTACCAGCCTTATATTTGTTTTATTTATTATTTTTGTTCGGAACAACTCTAAACTCAAACACTAGATTGTGTAAATAAATTTTAATTTTCTTCCTTTATGACTGAAGGCGGAACAAATTAATTCTCAAAAGTTGGAATCATTTTGGAAAAATTAAACGATTTCCCCCTAGACAGCGAAGTTCTTTGCGATTGCCTCACTCACAAAGCCAAAGAAGTGTGAACTAAAAATAAACAAGCAATTTTATTCGTTTTTGATCAAGCGGAAACATTTTGAAAAACGAGATTACCTTTTCCAAGTGAAGAAAATTCCACTTTCATAAGAATGTTTGTTTTCTATCCAGCAATAAAAAGTAGAAGTAAATCGTCATTTCTAGAAATTAGTTTAATATATTTGACAACACTGTTCTAAGAATTCATTAAGAATTGCAGCAGTAAATTTGAATTTTTCGATGACACTTTAACTTTGGTCACTCCAGTAACAATTACTTCGAAATCAAAAAGTTGACAGAGATTCTGTTAGGGAGACATTTATCTCAAGTGAATGAACCTAACCGAGATTAATCTTTCTGCTATGTAACATGCATTTCAATAGTTTTAATTAAAGCCAAAGTAAATTCGAACAAAAGTATTAGAGAATGGATCGATATCTACAATTGATTAGACATTTTTATTGCTTAAATTTTCAAAGTCTGTGGTAGATAAGGATGATTTCGAAATCACTTCTTCGAGATTAGTTTGTGAACCATTTAATATAAGTTGTTAGAGCTGTTACGTTTGGCATTTAAGTTTTTTTGAAATAACGTGGTAAAATAGCCTTTATATCTTAATACTATCAAACTAAGATTTTAGAAATTGACAAATCGGAGTTGTTACCTTAAGGCCAACTTTCTAGAGAACATCAGGTTACCTACTGAAACTTTACGCCAATTTCTTTAGATTTTATTCTTTTTGTTTTAAATTGTTGAATGAAACGAAAAAAATCGAATTTTAATTTTGTTCACTCGGCCTATTTGGATTGTCAGTGATGTCGAAATTCTATTGGAAGTGCTGTGAGAGAGAGGATATGGAGTTATCAGGCGTATGAGTGGATATTTAAGGAGAGACCAGCAAAGCTGCGAGAGGGAAACGCCGTCATCGACACTGGCTCTTTCATATGCAGAGCGCGGGGTCGATCCTACCAGACTGATAAGGAAGAATCACCCAAGTCATAAAATACTCTCTATCTCTCCCTCTCTCTCTCCATGCTTCACCGCAAAATACACAAACTCATGCATGCACGCATGAACCAGCATGCGGCCTGTTTATTTGATTATATATTACGGATATATAGCATCCTATGAATAAACACAGTATGTGCGTAATTAAGTACCGTTAAGTGAGCAAGTGAGCAGATTCCCTCTGGCACTCAACGAGTCCATATTCATAAATTGAGCTACTAAGTGTCTGACAAATATAAGGGCTAAAACTGTGAGTTCAGTTCTGTCTTCTGAACCAACAGGCTTTGTAAATGCATGATTGAACTGGCATTACACAATTCCGAAATAAATCTACATTAATTACCTTTCGAATATCCCATATAAAATTTGAGGTAAATCGAAATTAATAAATCATTCTCACCGCCAATTTAAGTTTTCAGCAATCACATAGTTTGGATTTATTTCCCTTGTTAAATAACGTTACAGTTAGCTAAAAATAATCAGTCAAACGTACGATTTCTAAATCTTGTCTAGACAATTTTAATATGATGATTTTAAAGTAATTAGTCTTTTTAAATCGGTTCACAGTTATTAGCAATAAAACAGCACATTTTTTCTATCATAAAAGCAACTATTATTGTATCCTACTTATGTATTAGAAAACAAATTAAAAGAAAATTTGAGAATTTTTAATTCAGTGTCGGCACAAATTCTAGTGCTTTTTCAAGTGTTCTAAGATTATTGTATATTAAAGGATGGTTTTTTTCAAAGTGTTCCGCTAAATTGAATACATTAAAGAAGAGGCAATTGATTGTATCAAGTAAGTGGACATCAGGCAGTGCTTACTCAGAAGTACAAATGTATCAAATTCTCATGTTATAGGCCAGTGCAGAAGTGTCAAATGGTTTTTTGGGACGGTGGAGAGGGGGGGGGTTGAATGCGGTCGTAAAGGCAGATAATTTATGCATTGTTGAATTATTTTATGGCTGAATGGCATTAAGAAGCTGAATCATTTTCATTACAAATTGGTACAAAGTAGAAACCTCACATTTACATCCTAGTTAATCGTTAAAATAGCTTTTGACCAATTCGGTCGTGATATGTACATTGAGTATTGTTTTCGTGAATTTCAAAGCGGCTTCGCCGACACTGTACGCTGCTATTATTGATTCCCATTTATCGAATGAAACCTTTTGACAGTTGACTAGTCAAAATAAGATATATAATATATTTGTCGTAAGGCTTTAATCTAACTGCCATTTGACTGAATTATTTAGGCATTTGTACACGCCTTAATACTTCGTCACCCAACAAGCACTGAACTCAAAATCAAACGGCAAATAGGCATTAATTTTAACGATTCTCCGCTTCTACTTTACTAACAAGTGCAAAAATTTGTACATTACAGTCTTTTAGAAATTCTCCTGACATCCCACTTGATGATCATATGGCTACTAGTAATTATTGTAGCATTTAAGTCTAGTAGTCATTCCTGTTGTCCTCTCCATTAAGTCAGCCGATTAAGTGCTCATACATGTGTTAGTTATCGCCGAATCGCGTTAATTTGCCAATTACTTTTAATTGAAGTTAAGTGGTGTTTAAAACACTTGGGAAAATACTCTTTTGCTTGTTTGATTTACTAAAGCAATTAAAAGGCATCAGGCAAGTGAGCTTTCTAAATTGAGCGACATGTAATTCTGAAGTTAAAGGGTTGATATAACTCATCGTTTTAAACATTTTATTTTTAAAAAAATATTCGAGTTTTTTACGTAAACACTATTCTCGCAGGTTAGTCTACGATGAAGAATATTCACCAATATATCATATTAAACCAAATAAATACTTCATTATGTTTTTTGACACTTTTTCAGCTTCTAGATTACACAAGTAGAATATTAATTGATGCAGTATTGTTTAATTTTCTTTATCTCCACAGACTATGTATGATTTGTAGAAAAGAGAGGGGGGTGGGGAATAAAAGAATTTACATAAAATGATTATTTTTATTTTTTTTTGTAGGGGTGGGCGATAGACTTACCTCCACGTGGTGCACCTTGGGCAATATATACTCATACGGCAAAAAAGGTCTATTACCTGGCAGTTGACTTCTGATTTCAGGCTACCATGACTTCATTGTATGTCCTATTTGACTACTTACACAGTACTCACCTCACCCTTATTCTGCCTTTTCTATCCTCGTCTTTGAAGCACTCTTCTGTCCCACCCCCTCTCTTGAATTTTCACTTTGATGTTCCTTCCCCTCTGTGAAGCCTGAAGTCAACTAAAGGGCTAATGATAACTATCAAAACGCCTGCCATTTGATATAAATAAATAAATATTTTTTGCATGCTTAAATGGAAAGTTGCCTAAAAGGTAATTCGCGTATTGATGTAATCGATGGCAACGAGATGGAAAACTCATTTATTAAAAGTTGATGGCATTGGCAGTGCGTTCGGTAAAGAGACAGTTGAGAGGATGATAAGAATTTATGAGTTGCATTTACTGTCAGCGCTTGAAATATAAATTTCAGAGCCAGAAATATTGCAGTAAAGACCTGGCATTAAAGCATTTGGGGCCATTATCACCAAAACG